ATTGAATTTTCACTTAAGTTACAATGCTGGCGAAGAGATTCACTTTTAAAAATATGAAATATAACAATGGAAGTGGGAATTGTTTTTTATATGAGAGCCACTGTCAAAAAGCACATTTTAAGCAACTTATTTAAAATAAAATTAATCTGTAGTGTAATATTGTTGCACACCAGAATCCCAGAATCAACATGAAGTAGAATCCTGATAAATTAAAATAATGATGGTTATACATTTTTTTCAAAATCACGCTGCCAAATTTGCACACTATCCAAGCAGAGGAAGCGGCAGTGCTTGAAACCAAGGGCGACTTTTGTTTGGCCGTCCATGATTTCCATGAAGCATTTACAATTCTATAATTGCAATGCGGAAAAATGCACGATAGGGAAATTCAATGTCTACTGTGTCATTAATCCCTTAACAAATTAGAGGCAATAGAGGAATGGGGGCGACGATAACTGTTATAAACATTGGAGTGCCTTTTTTCGGCAGAGAATATTTTTTTGGCTTATATTATTTATCTGCTGTAGTTGTTTTCACCGAAAATTTTTAAATTTTTCAATTAACCGACTGTTAAATTGTCACACAATAAAATATTCTTAGATAATAAAAGTAACACACGAAAAAATTAAATGGACCTCTGTATGGATCATACGGAAAAGGATGATATTGGGCTAAATTAAATTAAAAGCGGAGCTGATATTGTGATATAAAATAGCGACCAAATAAGCAGATTTGAGGCATGCCAAGAAGCTTTGATAGGAAAATTTTGAATGTGTAATAAAACCTAATGTAAACATGGACCATTTTCATCTTAATCTATTTTTATTGAACAAAATAATTTATGACTTGTTACCTTTATTTTCGAAATTCTAAAAGAGTCTTAAAAGTTTTAAGTCATTTTAAGAAGGTACTTAAATATTTTAAGGAGAGTGAAGCTGATATATTTTAACAATTTTTCAGTGGTTGACAAATTTCAGTAGTTAACCTAGTACTATGGCGTCACTTGAAATAACTAATGGGAAAAATACTCCGAATAGTGATACCCTATGACCATTAGCACGAGCAGAGTGCAGACGTAGAAATGATGTACAACTCTACCAGGCTAAACTGGGTCACGATGACTCACACAAGGTCAAAAAGAGCATCTTTATTTGGAATTGTCTCGCCCATATTTCTGAGTGTACATGAAGATCGCTGGCAATAGTCATTTATTTACGTTATCCTAAAGAAACTTCCAAGTTTCTATCAATATTTCAGCGTCCAAAAAGAAATTGTTACTTTTTATCGCACATTCTTCTTCGAAATTACTGCTTATTGCGATAATATATGAAGCAGAAGACAAAAATTTCGTTTATAATTTCCCACTTCTCAGTTGATGTAAAAATCAATACAATTCTCACTGCTTTCTGGCAAATAAAAAAATATGGATAAATTTTAGCAGTTAAAAGATTTTTTACGCTCATACTGAAATTTTTAGAAAACCACGATACAGAAAAGTCATAAGCACAAACGATATTAAATTGGGGACAAAAGTACAGAAAAATAATGGAATTTTCTCAATATGGTTGCCATTAAATCGAATGTTTGTAATTTGGGAAAAAATGTCTTGTTCGGATCATAAAACTGGCAGTCATTTCTACGAGACGATATGACATGGATTCTCCATCATAATCTTGAATCTATCAATGAAATTATTAATGTTATTATAGGGACGTTTCATCATAATCTTAAGTTCATCAATATATTGATAATGCATTAATGATATCAGCTCCTACGAAGTACCTGTGAATGTGAACTATCGAAATAATTATCAGCCACAATCATACACGTTCTCCTACCAAAGCCCAGCCCACTACCGACACATTGTGCGGGCTCCGAAAGAACAAAATATGATAAAACCTACCTGGTGAGTAGTCATCGGTGTGTTTCCAGGGTGAGTAGTGTACTAAATTACCCTCTGACTGCTGGCAATTTATTTTGTGATTAGGTACCTTGCTATGTTTGAGACTCCCATGCTTAGTCACCCTGTCATTATAGTGTCTATAACCATTCATGTGCCTCGTGCCACTCGTGTACCTAATAACCTAACCAAATTAAAGCTTATTATAACCTATGTAAAAATCAATCAGCTGGATGCCATTTTAATGTTTCCATTTTCTCTAACCACAGGCCACGTGGTTTATGGTCAGTGGTCACCCACACTCTATTCCCCAAGGGGTACCTACCCACTTTTCAAGGATATATATCTGAACAGAAAAAATTACCTGGCTAGTCAGGAAATTTTGTTTAGTGTAGAACCGTAAATGAAAATATTACAGCGTGATGAGAATGAAAACATGGCATAGAAGTTAGCTTTCACGAGATTGGTTGAAAAATGTACTCGTTTTCGCTTTCTGGTAACGTTTCATGGTGGCCACCAAATGTGCTCCGCTCATTGCCAACGAATCCACAAGACTCGCCCAATCACAGCACTGCAGTGTTGCCATATCGATGCACTCAAGACTTTATCCAATCCTTTAAGCAGGAAAGAAAACTTGAGCAAGCAAGAGCCAGATTCTCAAAAAATCAATTCGATCGCAGGCACAATGTTGATTCTTTGCAGTTGATGTTAATTGGCTGCAATATTTATTGTTATTGTGATGGAATGTTTCAAATCAAGTTTTCGTAGGGTGATGAACTTACGATGTGAATTTATTTTCGAGTATCTGGCTTAAGTTAAGTTGACTGTATTATATAAGCTACAAAGCGAACTATAACAACTACACCAGCGAACCGACCACACAGTTCACAGAAAGTAAACAGTACAGGGTAGAACTTTCGTACTAAAATATTAAAAAAATTATTGGAAGGATAAAAATACATTAAATAAATAAGAATTTCGGTTGATAAATACGCGTTCCAAACGTAAAGGCGTGCAAAAATAAGAGGAACTAATCAACAGAAGCAAAATCCCTTAGCCAAAGAAAAAGTACGAGACAAATATTGGACTTGGTTGGGAATACACATTTTTCATATGCCACTAAATGAACCGCTCTATTTCTTAAATATATAGCGGCAGTATATTGATTACTACCAACGGTTGTCCTTTTGTATCGTAGTTTAAACTATTCCCAAATTCAAAGTAAAGAGCAACAATTTCAATCTGTATCCCCCTACGTCCACCACTAAAGCACTTTGCAGTAGCACCTCATACCATTCGGCCTCATATCATAAAAATTGTCTAAAGTTTATAGAAGATTATTATAAGCTAATTTCGTGTCTGTAAAAGAATGTTGCCGAATGTCACCCCGTGACTTTAATCGTGAGCCTGTGGGGTCTGCTAAGGGATACATTGTTTGTACGAATAATGAGTAAAAACATAAAATCTGAATGCCAAGTTCACCAACCTAGTCATTAAACTCGGTATGTATTTCCCTCACCTCCCCCTAGATGACTCACTATTGACAGGGTAACCTGATTGTGGGTAGGAGATTTGGTAGTTCTTAATAGTTTTAGGACGTTTTTGTTGCTTTTTAGTCGTTAACAAGAATTTCGCTTTTGATAATCGAACCAAAGAACGATAGCTGTAGAAAATAATACTACGTTCGTCATGTAGGTACGAGAGAGGGTAAGTATTAGATACCTTGGTGGTAGGTACCAGAGGTATTGGAATGTATATTAGAATTGACGCAGTATTGAAGTATGGATAGTAGGTACAGCATACTGTAGTAGATGGGAAGGTATTGAGAATTATACTGATTGGGGGTTTGTATGTGTTAGATAGATAGACTGGTTAGAGGCTGGTAAGTGTCCGATTGATAAACACTATCAATAAGTGAACATTTGACGAGCACAGTAAGTTTCATGGTGTTTTTCATGTCTGTAGGTGGGTGCATTTGTGTTTAAGTTGGTATACTTGTGTATGAGTTGGTATATTTGTGTATGGGTAGGTATATTTGTGTAAAGGTGAGTTTAATGAACAAGTAAGTCTTGTGTTACAGGTACTGCGAAAGCAGGTGCAAGAGAGAACTCGCGAACAAGCAAAACAGGTATGTCTGCCAGGCAGTCAGAACGTATGACTGGTAAGAAAAGCATTCTTTCAGTATGACACAGAAGGTACGATTTATTTTATAAATCGGCGCCCCTGGTCGTGTATCAACGTGATTGGTAGGTAGGTTAAGTGTATGGGAAGCAGGGTACTGTGGACACAAAACATTCACTTCTTAAAATCTTGCTTGTAAATTGGGTTTAATAAAACGATAGAATAGATGATAGAAATTTACGCAGAAAAGATTGGTATAACTGTAGGTCGCTAATGGAGGACGGCAGAATTCTATGTATGAAAGGAATGTAGAAGTGTGGGTAGTTTAATAAGGTAGAACTGTTTTTTCGTAAGTGTGCTAGAACTTTGTTTATGTAAGTATGTTGAGTAACAAGGTCAGCACCAGTTGACTTAGACGTTTGACTAAAAAATTTTGAAGAATATATTGGTGGGCGGAACGGTATGAATGTATGGATAATAGAACTGCATGTAGGTAGGAGTGGAAAAATTGCACGTAGGTAGGTGTGGTATAACTATACGTAGGTATGTGGTATAATTGTATGTAGGTAGGTGTGGTAGAACTGCACGTAGGTAAGTATGGTAGAACTATACGTAGGTAAGTAGAGTGGTAGAGTACCTGTAATCCTCGACGTTGACCTTACTAATCGTGAAGAATATATTAGTGGATGGAACGGTATGAATGTATGGATGATAAAACTGTATGTGGGTAGGTTTAATAGAACTGCGTGTAGGTAGGTATGGTAAAACTCCACGTAGGTAGGTAGTATGGTAGAACTATACGTAGGTAGGTGTGGTAGAAGTGTATGTAGGTAAGTAGGGTAGAACTATACGTAGGTAGGTGTGGTAGAACTGTATGTAGGTAGGTATGGTAGAACTATACGTAAGTAAGTAGAGTGGTAGAACTATACGTAGGTAGGTATGGTAGAACTATACGTAGGTAAGTAGAGTGGTAGAGCACCTGTAGTCCTCGACGTTGGTCTCACACGCCGTTGCGTCGCGCACCCGCAGGTAGATGACAGCCTCCACCGACACCGGCACGGAGTCCAGCGACAGGATCTACCGCGGTCACTAGAGTGACTTGATTGTCTACTAGGTGAGCCTAGATGTCTATATGTCTAGTATATATTTATACTAGGTGAGCCATGTCTTGCAATGTCTATAAGTTAAAAGTTGTTCTAAATAGTATGCAGCATTTAGTGGGCCCATGTCACTAGAGTGACTTGATTGTCTACTACCCTAACAAAATTAAGAGTCGCCCCAGCATCTGGTAATCCAAATCAGAAGCTGCCGCGTCTGTAAATTTTCACTGGGTAGGTGAGCCTACACATGATGTCTTGCCAATGTCTATAGGTTAAAAGTGGCTCTAGGTAGTACGCAACATCTAGTGGGCCGTAATATAAATAACAAAACACTTTTTTAGTGTCTAAGAAGATCAGTGTTTTGGAAATACCAATATGATTTTAATTACAAATTGCTTGTCAGAAAGTGTTGTGGTGTCCGAAATGTTCTTGAAGAACACATAAAGACACCTGCGCTGAGTATTTTGTTCCGTAGTGACCTAACTGTTTTTGGATACGAGCAGCCAATTTAAAAGGTCAGTTTTCGTGCGTTAAGTCCGTCCCAAGACCATTTAGTTATCTATTCATTACAAATAGTTGAGGGATCATTCTAGTTCGCGTGAAAATGTTGATTGCTAAACTGATTAAAAATCTCCCTGGAAAATTTGATGTAGAAAATACGTACAATGTAGATGTGGGGGAATGGAGGGAAGATTAACGAAGTATAACTTCAATCTACTCACTATAGAAATCGAAAATATATTGAAACATATATTTTGAACTTTGAACTTATATTTAAAACAGAGGAAAAAATTGCAAAATTACTCAAAACCTAGGATAATATTTGAAATAAAATTTGTATTTTTTTTAACAGAGCAGTTTTGAATTTAATTATTTATTCTTTCAAAATTCACTAAAATATTTTAAAACTTATTTGTATCACCATTGTTGCACTTTGGAAAATGAGGTATTTTGAATGTAATAATATTTTTATAAAAACGATACGCTGTTTTCCGTCACAAAACCTTGAAAATGCATGACCCAGAATTAGGTAAACTGATTAGTTGTCCGATACTATGCTCTATCACTTCATGCTAACTCTTTCCCTTGCTATTTCCTTTCATACTTTTATATTGATGATTTTGTATTAAAACAAATTAAATTTTAAAACGCGTTGTCTACGCAAAATTCTTCAGTAAGCAAATATGACAAAAAATTACGATAAATTAGTATTTAACGGAAATTGACTTAGTTGTTTTAAATCAATAAATTAACAACATTTCTGTAATGTTTCAATTACTCGGCACGCCGAATATTAAATACATCTAATTGATTTATTTAAAATTGGAAAAATCGATCATACAAAACACACTAAGACTCTACATGGAAAAATTTAGCCAAACTTTTCAAAAGTACTTTCAAAATGGCATGACCAAAAAATTCCAATACTTAACAAATAAAGCCGTTAAAACAGCTTATTAAAAAAATTACGCAAAATCAGTCATGTTTCAGCAACGATCACTCTGGTGTTTATCTTCAAACAATTTCGGTGTTAAACAAAGATTTCCTTCATCGCTGAAGGCAGCCTAGTGAATATACTGCCTCGTTGAAGGCAGTTTAGTGAATATTTTAATGATAAGTTTCTATATTCCCATGTGATTGCCAATAAAATTTACCTATTTTTTCACTTTTTAATTTGTGCGATTGGCGAAAACGCCCGAATATATGCGTTTTCACACTCGTTTTTTAGATACTTCACTCGCATACTACACTCGCGTGCATGTAATTGTTATATAAACATGAATGCAAGAGCATGAACAAGGTTCTATAGTCAAACTTTCTTCATAAGATTATCCTGCATTTGATATTATATTAAAGTTTAGCATAGACTGTCAAAAGTTTTCATAGATTCTCGAATTTGTTGAGTTGAACTTCATTTTAATTTATTCTGATAATTTTTTGTAACTTTTTAATCCAGTATTTCGGAAGTTTATTCCCAACTTGATCTATGCATTGAAAAATAAGAATAAGATAATTTGATTAATTTTCGGTGTGAGAATATTTTTGACAATACTTTGAATATTTATTGATGGCGAAAGCCCGGTCACGGCAATATAGAAAATCCTTGCGTGCTATCGAAGAATTGTGAAGATAGTCTTTGTGCTAATATTATCGATGAACGAAAAAAGCTCACTTGGATGAAGAAAAAATGAGATTTAAATGGATGGAGTACAATTATTATACTACATCAGATATTTTATAGAAAAATAAATCTTCTAGTGCGCAAAACTGGAATAATTTACTGAAGAGCCAAGCAAACAAATGTAGATGTGACGTCTGTTAGCCATTGATTTCATTAAGAATATCGTTAACGACCGAGGCAGTCGGTGGGGGATAGAATGAGGGTCAGTGAGGGATAAAATGAGGGTCGGAGAGGATAAAATGTGTCCAGGAGGAGATAGGGGGAGCGTTAAACTGCTTTACGTCCAGAGAACTGCGTTAGATGATTTTCCGATACGGGTGGGGGATTATGGGGATCTGAGTGGGGAAGTATGGGGATACGGGTAAAATAATAGGAGAAGGTGGACTGAAGGGAGGGTGTTTAAAATAGGCGCAAAGGAGAGAAGATAAAGTGTCTGAAAATGGATAATTTTATGGAGGAAGAATCACTCGCGTCATCGTAATCATTTTTTATTTGAACTCTCATCACCGTTATTTTTTGAGTGTTCTTGTTTACTTTGATAATAAATTAAAATTCTACTTCAGTGCTAGTACTCAATACTGTAGTTAGCACGGCAGAGAGTACGAGTCCTGTGTTTTAAATCAAGTTCATTCGTGCAATAAATTGAAGCTGAAAATATTATATTACTCGTTCTGCGACACCTCGAACCCGGAATGATGAAGGCAAAAGAAAGAGGTAAGTACGACCAAAAAACTGTTAGATTTTACAGGCGAGTTTTCGTTGGCAGAGGATATATTACAGGCGGGTGGATACAGGCATTCATACGCCCATAAATTTCCCCCTTTTAAAATAAATAATAAGTAGGAAAGCAGTGCTAAACATAGAAACCATTTTTCGTTAATACTTACAAATGAGTCCCTGTACCTGATATATTTTCCATCCTGCCTCACATCCTAAGACGACGGAACTTTCAATCCAGCCCCGTATCCTATGCATTAAAATGAGGGTGCTTGCATATTTGATGACATGCATCATACTTGACGGTACTCACAATACTCTACTAGCATACTTGTATAGGAGCGTAAATCTTTCATTACTTTCAGGGCAGCAATGTAGCCTCTAGCTCTAAGCCCGGTCTCATGCAGGGTGGCAGCTTCAAGAAGTTCAGGGCAGCAATGTAGCCTCTAGTTTTAAGCCCGGTCTCATGCAGGATGACAGCTTCAAGAAGTTCAGGGCAGCAATGTAGCCTCTAGTTTTAAGCCCGGTCTCATGCAGGGTGACAGCATTAAGAAGTTCAGGGCAGCAATGTAGCCTCTAGTTTTAAGCCCGGTCTCATGCAGGGTGACAGCAATAAGGGGACAGAGTTCGGGACAGAAGCTGTCTTTAAGGGGCAGAACTCTGGGGACAGAGTTCGTTGAAGTGGTCTTAGACAGTAGAGATGGACCGAAAGACAAAGTGAAGACACTGAAAAATTTATTTTTACACTGGTGATGAGAACGAACATGTTGCTCAATGTGTGAGGCAATTTATTTGAAGTTTCTCTATGTTCAAAGATCTTTAGGAAATGTTGAGCAAAACATTATAATGAGCTCAAGTCGTTTACTTTGATTTAGTTTAAATCGAAATAAAGTGATTTCTCAGATAAGAAAAGTTATAGTTATTTTTCAGAATCGTAGGGAAATAACATTGAAATCTGCTTCTGAAAAATTTGAAAATCTTATTTCGGTAGTAGTTCATGATTTCTATCTTAACCGGTGAGTGATAAAATAAAGTCTCGTCTAATGCTTTCATTATCTCTTTTAATGTCAACTTGAATGACTCAAAATAATGCTGGGAGTGAATCATGCTTATCAATTACCGGTGGTTTTGGAAATCGTATGGAGCGGTAGAAGAGAGACCTCCAAAATCCATTAAGAGGAGTGTCAAATCACCGACGGAATTCTGACCGATTTGACATAAGAATACGGCAATCTACTATCCTAAGGTATTTACTTCACGTAAATATACTTTACTAAGTAATTAATAACCATATTCCGCACATTACTTTACGAAAGACTGAGTAAGAGACTGACTGCAACGCTGATATCTAAAACTAGTCTGTATTTCAGTTTTCGGTGACTAAAGGTATAAAAGTTCTTGGCAGAACAACAATTTTGCTAAGAAATTTCTGAAGTAAATAGATAATGTAGAGGTGAAAGCAGTTCAAGCGTTAGAAATGACCACGTGAAGTAAACAGAAACTAGATAAAGTCATACATTCACCAATCTACGTATTTGGAAATTAACTTCAATACCCCTTAGGTGCTTTCATTTGCATTTGTTCTCCAGTAGTGTTATTCATTTTTTATCTTGATTTTAATCGGGTGGCAAATGCGCTGTCAAGATTATATTCTTACCTGGACTGAAAATCAAGTAAGAGCATAGAAAGTAATTTTTTAGGAGAGTAAAAGGTAGGTTAGACTGCCCCATTAAAGAGTTAATATATAAACTTTGGTAACCGCTATATTTACGAATACTCAATTCAATCTAAAAACGCTGATGGCTTGATATGCAGAACTCTGATTCCTTTAATAAATAACATTGCCCAATGACTCAGGGTGGAAATATAACATGCCAGTGAATGGCTATTAAAAAATCACTTCGTTGGAAAAGGGTTGGTAATTTTTTCTAGCATTCATGATGCTAGTGTATAGTCAGTGTATTTTATTGTTTGGTATGTATCCGACTAAAAAATTCCCGTTTGAGAGAAAAGTACACACCAAAAACCAATTTACATGAAAATACTGTCACGCGTCCTCCCATGAGAATGCAATTTAA